ATAATAATAATAATAATAATAATAGTAACAATAAATAATAATAGTAACTAATAATAATAAGCTAAAAGTAATAATGATAATAATAATAATAGTAGTGGTAGTAGTAAGATAAATAGTAATAATAATAATAATAAAAACAATAATAATAATAACAATATTATTATCTATATCGCTGTCTATAACATCACCACTACAAAATTACTACCATCATTACCACCACCATTACTATTACAACATCAACATCATCATCATCATCATCATCATCATCATCATCATCATCATCATCATCATCATCATCATCATCATCATCATCATCATCATCATCGGCATCATCATCATCGGCATCATCATCATCATTATCTTTATCGTATCATCATTATTATCATTATAATTATAATTATCGTTATTATATTATTAGTATTATTATTATTATTGTTGTTGTTGTTATAGTTGTTGTTGCTTCTATTGTCGTTTTGTTTTTATTATTGTTATAATTGTTGTTACTGTTATTATCATTTATTTTATGATTGTTGTTTCTATCATTGTTAATATAATTAGAAACAATATAATATATTAAATATATGTAATATAGTTATTTTAAAGTTTTTTGAAAAAGATACAGGCTACATTTTAAGTATAAGTGCTCACCTTTTGGTTATATTGGTTCTTGTTATAGTGTTCCTGTTGGACATACAATACGCGAACCCGTCATAGTACACGACGAAAATCGGCCGACGTATGTACTCTCAAACTTTGCTAAGATTAACATCGTTATTATTATATTATTATTATTAACTAATGTATTATAAATATATATGGCACAGCTTTTTACGGATACATTTTTTCGCTCCTCAATTTTGTATCTACTGAGATCCAGACATCGTTTCGCACAACATTGTTTTTTTTTCAGTATGTTCAATGTTTTTGCTGCTTAGCACTGAAAACACAAAACATTTATAAATAAAATAATACAGTGATCAAATTTATAGGAACATGATGATGTTCTTAAAGCTAAGTAATATGCCTATAAAAGGAATAAAATTAATAATATAATATAATATAATATAATATAATATAATATAATATATAATATAATATAATATAATATAATATAATATAATATAATATAATATAATATAATATAATATAATATAATATATGCGCTCTATAATTCGACCATTATTGTTATCATATAAACACATATTGGTACTGTACTTTATAGTGTTACAGCTGTTGGAAATACAATACCCGAACCCATCATAGTACACAGCCGAAGTCGACCGACAAATATTCACTTGCCAAATAACAGCATACAGCTGAGAACAAGACCCCCGATGCCAGAACCCAGGGAAGTTGCCACGTCACACGAAAGAGATCCACAGTATGACTACGCAGACACGAGCAAAATAAAGCAAAATTGCGAAAGTGATTATCTTGAACCGTATGTTTGCAATCGATAACGATGCAACTTCTGTCTTTTATATATATCTAGATGTGTATAAGAGCAAGGTGTACAGTAGATGGCACCGGGGATCTACTAAAAGTTCTTGTATTTTACATCATCATGACATCATGCAGTCTGAAGCATTGACGGTCATATCCGTAGACTTACACTAGCAGGCCTATCAAGCTCAACTTCCTTCCTAAAAACGTGCAAAGGAACGTCAACCTCACTGAGTCAGAAGACAAAATTGGAGATTCTCTTGCAGGCCCTACGTGTCTTATGCAAATTATTCATAGGTTTTCGTCCATAATGATCGGCAAGAAGGGCATTTGCCCTCAAGAGCAGTGATAAAGCTGTCTATCATTGATGTTTACCTCAACGACAATGCTTTATTTTGTTTCAACTGGGGGGGTTTTTGAGGGAAAGTGATCAGAAATAATGATCTTGTTTATGTGGAGGATGTAGAGTCTATAGGAATATCTTTTGCAAGTACATGTGATATACTGTACTAATACCAAGGTGACGTCTACATTCCAAAATCTGTGATTTATATACAGTACTCAAGGAAATAGACATACATCATTGAAAATCCAGAAATTGTCAGGGTTCTAAACTGAAGTTAGAGTTATTTTTAAATTCTGGTAAGTAACCTCTGTATTTGCATGTGTTGGATTTTGAATCCCCTCAAAACAGAATGAACTTCTGAACTGACTATATTAATAGCTTTGCCAGCACAAGACATTAATATTAATGATGATTTTCGTACTGTCAAATAAAAGGTATTTGTCAAATGTTGATGAGTTTATTGCTGCTGTTGAGTGCTCTGAGACATTTATTTACATTATAAAGCAAAATTATAATTACCGGTAGGCACAAAAAAAATTGTTGTGTTGCCCAGTCAAGGATTGGTCAGTCAGTTGGTTGGTCAGGAGTATTTAAAATAAGTATGGCTGTCTCTTATACACATCTAGATGTGTATAAGAGACAGGTACAGTAGTTCAATCTTTGTACAGGCTTGTTTTATGAAACACCAATATAAATTATAAGGCATTACAATTTTTTTTTTAATGAGTTTTCTATTCGCTATAGGATGTGATTTAATGCTAGTGAACTTCTAACTTAATATTAAAATGTGTAGGAATTAAGCTTGTAATGCCAGAATACTGCTGAAGGGCAAGCACTCTTACAGTACATTAAAATTTGAATACCATTCAAATAATTAGCGAATGTGCTGAAATTTAAGTTTGTGTCATTGACTCGTCGTACTTTCTGTCACAGTCAGTTTATATTGAACATTTTATTAGGCTACTGGAAGAGGTTTGCCTGTAGCGATTTGCTCGAGGAATGACTTTTTATCTAGTTTTGTAGTATTCGAGATGGTAATTTACAGATAGATTTGATGATAAATCGCTCATTACTTTTCCCATTCTTATGAAGACATGTTAGAATTAATTTATATTATTATTATTATCATTATTATTATTATTATTATTATTATTAATATTATTATTATTATTATTAATATTATTATTATTATTATTATTATTATTATTATTATTATTATTATTATTATTATTATTATTATTGCAATAAAAATATGTAGAATGAAAACTAATAATAGGCCTGTCCTATGTCATTGTGTTCTTATAAATCAGTGACACAGGAGTCACGCTCAGAGTAGGGTGCATTCAAATACAGAATATCTAAAATTAAATCCACACATACAATAACGAGTCTCAAGTAGCAGGCACTCTCTCATTTAGTATCTCTAATCATTAATAGGCTTATATACAACTACTATCAGAAATGCAATTCAAAATGATAATATATCCACAAACAACACAAATAATGTCGTTTTGTTCACCTATGATTGATATTCAGTTTTACTAACCAATAAATCGTCAAAGATTTGTTGTTGATCAGATAACACACAAAAGAAGACCAGCGTAATTAATCTTGATTTTGAAAATATAAATTATTATATATTTGGTTTCCATTCATTCTTGAATTAGGAAATACAAAAATCGTTGATATGTTGTTCAGTCTCCAAGCAGTACATTTCACTTTTTTTTAATGCAATCTTCACTCATTAATAGGCCTACAATTTAGGGACCTACGTGATCAACACAAGGGATGCAAGTTTGTTTTCACAATCTATATTCATTAGACCATGTTTAATCATGATGGTATAAAATGTTTATACCTCCATGGTTTAATTAAGTGTTCTAAATGCATAATATCTTCGTCCTTGGTCCATGGTATAAATGAGAGTACTTGTCTAAAGTTGGATCATTTTGTACGTTTTGGCGTTGATATTTTAAAACTACTTCTTGAATAAAGGTCAGTTTCGTTTTATTTATTTTTTTATAAAGTCTACCATTTTAGAAAATTTTGTAATTATAGTATAATAATGATGGGGTTTTTTATATCTGTATAAATGCTTTAATCAATGTTCGTGGTATAAACAATAAAACCCCTTATTTGATCTGCAATGCATCTCAGCTAACGTCACTAAAACGGAGGATATATTTCCAATTTACTTATTTGCCTTCCATAAAATTAGCTATATAAATGTTATCAACCGTCCAAAATAACAGTAATAAATGTGTTAATGCATTTGAATAAAATACTAATTTGTATATGTCTGCCAAGTGTGCTGTGTTGGGGTAGAGAATTTCATGGAAGATGTGCCTGAGCCTTGTTTTATAATAAATATTGAATTGAATTAAATCCTGGTTTGTTTCATTTATGTTTTGATTATTATAATTTATCATTCATTTATCATATTTATATATTTTGACATAGAATTTATAGTGTGTATAATAAATATATGCCTATAGGTCTACATACAAATAGTCTCGTACAATGTAGCTATTGCTACATCGCACTAGCCGGTAAGAGGTCTGCAAACATCCACTTCTGATAACAGCCCCACTCCGATTCAGTTGATGAATCCACCTTCACAATGGACATCTTACTCTAGAGTTTTCTCCCCCTTGTTTCCATGTAGTTGAAGTAGTCAACTAAAAGACATATTTATTATTATTTATTATTATTATTATTATTATTATTATTATTATTATTATTATTATTATTATTGTTATTATTGTTATTCTTATTATTATTATTATTATTTATTATTATTTTTTATTACTTTTTATTTATTATTTAGCCAATGACGACCACTTGTTCTGAATACAGAACAATTAATAATAATAATAATAATAATATTAATAATAATAATAATATTAATAATAATAATAACATACAAATAGTCTCGTACAATGTAGCTATTGCAACATCGCACTAGCCGGTAAGAGGTCTGCAAACATCCACTTCTGATAACAGCCCCACTCCGATTCAGTTGATGAATCCACCTTCACAATGGACATCTTACTCTAGAGTTGTCTCCCCCTTGTTTCCAAGTAGTTGAAGTAGTCAACTAAAAGACATATTTATTATTATTTATTATTATTATTATTATTATTATTATTATTATTATTATTATTATTATCCTTATTATTATTATTATTTATTATTATTATTTATTACTTTTTATTTATTATTTATTATTTAGCCAATGACGACCACTTGTTCTGAATACAGAACAATTAATAATAATAATAATAATAATAATAATAATAATAATATTAATAATAATAATAATAATAACAATAATAATAATAATAATAATAATAATGATAATAATAATAATAATAATAACAATAATAAATAAATAGATTTTAGTTTGGAGGCATATGCTTTTGTACGGAAGCACCTAAGTGCCATTCGACTTGACAACTTGTCAAGATAATTTATGTTGTCAAGTCGACATAATATACACATTATGTCGACATGTCGAGATCAATTATCTTGCCAAGACGACATACTAAAAATGTTATGTTGTCATGGCGAGATAGGTTATCTTGACATGTCGACATAATAAAAGTTGTATGTTGTCATGGCGAGATAGATTATCTTGACAAGTCGACATAATACAAATTGTATGTTGTCATGGCAAGTTAGATTATCTTGACAAGTCGACATAATACAAACTGTATGTTGTCATGGCGAGATAGATTATCTTGACAAGTCGACATAATACAAATTGTATGTTGTCATGGCGAGATATAATATCTTGTCATGTCGACATAGTAAAAATGTTATATTGTCATGGCGAGATAATTTATCTTGACAAGTCTACATAATAAAAACTGTATGTTGTCATGGCGAGATAGATTATCTTGTCAAGTTGACATAGTAAAAATGTTATGTTGTCATGGCGACATAATTTATCTTGCCAAGTCGACATAGTAAAAATGTTATGTTGTCATGGCGAGATAGATTATCTTGACATGTCGACATAATACAATTTGTATGTCGTCTTGTCAAGATATTTGATCTCGACATGTCGACATATGTATATTATGTCGACTTGACAACATAAATTATCTTGTCAAGTCGACATAATATACATATTATGTCGACATGTCGAGATCAACTATCTTGCCAAGACGACATACTAAAAATGTTATGTTGTCATGACGAGATAGGTTATCTTGACAAGCCGACATAATAAAAATTGTATGTTGTCATGGCGAGATAGTTTATCTTGACAAGTCGACATAATACAAATTGTATGCTGTCATGGCGAGATAGGTTATCTTGTCAAGTCGACATAGTAAAAATGTTATGTTGTCATGGCGAGATAGATTATCTTGACAAGTCGACAAAATAAAAATTGTATGTTGTCATGGCGAGATAGTTTATTGTGTCAAGTCGACATAGTAAAAATGTTATGTTGTCATGGCGACATAATTTATCTTGCCAAGTCGACATAGTAAAATTGTTATCTTGTCATGCCGAGATAGATTATCTTGACAAGTCGACTTAATACAAATTGTATGTCGTCTTGGCAAGATAGTTGATCTCGACATGTCGACATGATATGTATATTATGTCGTCTTGACAACATAATTATCTTGACAAGTCGTCAAGTCGAATGACACTTAGGTGCTTTT